AACATTTGGTAGAGTAAATGCCTCTAAAGGTATTATTAGTCTCGATCTTTTAGTATAAAAGTTTTTGTGTATAGAGTCCCAGACCTTTAATAGTGCTGCTCTCAGCCAATGCTGCTTGAAGTATTTTTGTGAACCTGCTTTTTCATACCACAAAAAGGCATTCCATCCCAACAGTAGGTCATGACCTTCAATTTTCAAAAGTCTCTTATCTTCTAGTGTAATCCATTCCTTAATCCATACCAGGGCTGCTGCTCTATAATACAGCATCCAGTTCGGAACACCAAATCCTCCCCTCCTTTATATCCTGTAGTAATTTCAATCTTATTCTTGCCCTTTTCCCTTGCCATATAAATTTAGATGTTAATTGATCTAAATCTTTGAACAATTTTTGATTCTGCAATATCGGGATAGTTTGAAATAAAAACATCCATCTTGGTAACATGTTCATTTTAATTGTGGCTGTTCTTCCCATCATGGAAAATTGCAAATTTTTCCATTTCTCCAAATCTTGTTTAGTTGCTTGTAATAAGGCTTTATAGTTATCTTCATAGAGTGTACTGCATTTATTTGTAACCGTAATTCCTAAGTACTTTGCTTTCTTTGCTATCTAGCATCCCGTAATTTCTTGTAGTTTTTCTTTTTGTTTGTCCTCCATATTCTTAGTTATGATTTTTGTTTTTTCTGCATTTATTTTGAAACCTGACATTGCTCCGTACTCTTCAATCTTTTCCATCAAAGCCCCTGCTGTTTCCGTCGGATTTTCCAATATAAGTGCCACATCATCTGCAAAGGCTACGATTTTGAAATGTTCTTTCTTAAATTGTAATCCAGTTATTTTACTCTCTCTTCTTATGGATTCATTCATAACTTCCAATACCATAATAAACAAGAGTGGGGATAAGGGGCAGCCTTGTCTTGTACCTTTCTGGATCTCAAAGCTATTTGAAAGTTCTCCATTAACTATAACTCTTGCTTTCTGGTCCTTATATACTGCTTGAATCATAGTAATAAAGCTTTCTCTTGCTTCTAACATATGTAGCGTTTCCACCATAAAAGTCCAGTTAACATTATCAAATGCTTTCTCTGCATCTAAAAAGATTATCACCATCTGCTTCTCATGATGTGTTTCATGATATTCAAGTACATTCAACAAAGTTCTCAGGTTACGCCTCATTTGTCTTTTAGGTAAAAAACCCGATTGATCTCTGTTTATTGTTTCCACTAATACTTTTTTCAGCCTCTGTGCCAAAATTGATGTGAATATCTTATAATCCACATTTAAAAGTGAAATCGGTCTATAATTTTTCATTTCTTTCTCATCCGAGTTCTGTTTGTGGATCAAAGAAATAATTGCCTCTTTCCATGTATTTCCATGTCTCTGGGATTATACCCTGTTCTCTGGCCATATTGCACACCTCCTTAAAAGTCAATGCAATTTGTTCTTCAAACACAAGATAAAATTCTATCAGTAGACCATCCGATCCCAGAGCTTTCCCTCTATTCTATCTCTTTAATGCTTCAACCACTTCCATCATTTTTAAAGGATTATATGAACACATACATAAAACATTATATTGAAATTTCCAAGAAGAATCCATGATTAGGGGTCCTAGATTCCTGCATTCCTTAGTCTAGTTTTGTTTTTTAAAGTTGCATGGATTATCAAATCTCACATGTAGGTATTCAAGAAATCCCTTTAAAAAGCTAATGACGGAAGGAGGAAATATACATCCATGCTACCAGCTATCAACAGAAGTCTACAGTCATATGGCAATCGCTATTCCACAATCTGAATTCATAGTTTTTCAAGAAGATGGTTTGGGAGATATTTCATACAACTCCACATGCAATAATAAAGTTGCAAAATCCCCACACAAGGATTTTACCTCCTCAAAGTTAACATATTAATCAGTGTGAATCACATTAACACATGAATTTTAGAGAGAATTGCTAACTACTCTTGAAAATAGCGACAGTTAGAACTGGATGTGGAACAACTGATTGGTTTAGCATAGGAAAAGGAGTACGACAAGGATGTATATTGTCACCCTGCTCATTTAATTTATATGCAGAGTACATCATGCGAAATGCCAGCCTGGATGAATCACAAGCCGGAATTAAGATTGCTGGGAAAACATCAACAACCTCAGATATGCAGACGATAACACTCTAATGGCAGAAAGTGAAGAGGACCTCAAGAGCCTCTTGCTCAGGGTAAAAGAGGAGAGCGCAAAGGTTGGCTTGAAACTCAACATCAAAAAAACTAAGATCATGGCATCCGGCCCCATCACTCCTTGGCAAATAGAAGGGGAAGTCATGGAAGCAGTGACAGACTTCACATTCCTGGGATTGAAGATCACTGCAGATGGTGACTGCAGCCATGAAATTAAAAGACGCCTGCTCCTTGGGAGGAAAGTGATGGCAAACCTAGACAGCATAATAAAAAGTAGAGACATCACCCTGTCAACAAAAGTCTGTGTGGTCAAAGCAATGGTATTCCCAGTAGTAATGTATGCCTGCGAGAGCTGGACTATAAGGAAGGCTGAGCACTGAAGAATAGATTCTTTTGAATTATGGTGCTAGAGAAGACTCTTGAGAGTCCCTTGGACTGCTGGGAGATTGAATCAGTCAATCCTAAAAGAAATCAACCCTGACTGTTCCCTGGAAGGCCAGATACTGAAGCTGAAGCTCAAATACTTTGGCCACCAAGCTCATCAGTGTTCTGGTTGCCACTTGGGATAGGACTTGCCTTTTTTGTCATTCTATTTTACTCCTTTGAAATGTTTTTCATTGCAGCGTATTCCTAAGTCTGGTTTTAGTGATCAAAATAACTGCATAATGTTGTTCCTTAGTAACCTTGTTGTTTTTAAGGTAGTTTTACCATTTGGTTATTTTAAGTTACTTCTATGGTTTTTTATAATTGCTGGCTACGCGCTGTAACAATAAAATTCATTCATTCATTCATACTTTGGCCACCAAATGAGAAGGGGAGCACTCACTGGAGAAGACCCTGATGCTGGGAAAGACTGAAGGTAAAAGAAGAAGGGGACGGCAAAGGATGAGATGGTTAGACAGTGGTATCGATGCAACGAGCATGAAATTAAGCAAACTCCACAGCACAATGGAAGACAGGAGGGCCTGGCGTGATGTGGTCCATGGAGTCGCAAAGAGTTGGACTTGACTGTGCGACTGAACAACTTGAAAATTCTCTTACTAAAATATTTGTATTCCATAGAGAAGCATCAATCCTATGTGAAGATGATATAGGAGACTTGCAAATC